GTTTCCAGTGTGGAGAAATGCAAAGCACATGACCAGCCTGCCCCGGAGCAGGGCCCTGTAAAAGCTAAGGCCTCAGCAATGGACGACTGTTTGTCTCTCCCTGGGCATCTGGTTCTGGGAGACAGAGCAAGTCGGTTTAGCATCCAAAGTCATTGGAGCTTTCACTTTAGCCCAGAGAGTTTTTAAGTCAAGAAGTGTGGCTGAGCCCTAGTTGTTTTGGCTAGTGTATAGAGTATAGGCCTGCGGACTGAAAGTCAAAGACACATGCCTGGGTTGAGGGCTAGATCCCCAGGAGGGGGCGTACAGGAGGCAGCCAATCAATGATTCTCTCTCATCATTGATGTTTCTCTCTCCCTCCCTCTCCCTTCCTCTCTGAAATCAATAAAAATATATTTATTTTAAAAAAAGAAAAAGAAAAAAAGAAATGTGGATGAGAGTAGACCAGAGGGTGCTTCTCAGGAGGCACCCAAAACTTGAATCCTCATCTGATGTCAAGAGCAGAAAAAGCAGACCAGCTATAACTAGCTGTACCAAAGACACAGTTTGGAAAGATGTGCACCGTGTGCCTGGTAACTTGTTCCCCAACCAAAATTTGGAATGCTTCTCACTCATTTGTATGCCCCTTTCCAGCTGCCTGAGACTGCCCGGAGAATGCTTTTGGAGACTGCGTTCTCTAGGATATTTGGATGAATTGTAGGAAAAAGGAATAGCCCACCAATTCAGCTGAGTCCTGGGAGGGGACAGACAATCCTCATGTCTCCACACGTGCCACTTTCACGAACTGTACCGAAGCCATGGTAAACAGTTTAGACCAGCTTGGCTATGACATGAAGCTTCCTCTTGGCTATTTCTACAGCTTCATATTGAATGGAAGGAAATCGCTTAAACCGTCAAAACACAGTCTGGCTGAAGGCAAAATGCCTGGTTTGGCGTCTTGCCCCCATCCCTCCCACACCTGCACTGGGACCATTTGGACCCCCTCCAGCTTACAGGCTGGACACATGCTCTGGCCTCCATCAGTCTGAGGTCACAGTTAACATCTCCAGGCCCAACTCCAAAATGAGAGCATTACTGCCTGTGAACCTGACTTTACTTCCCAGGTGAAGTTGGGACAAAATAAACAATATTAATGTGCATCTATTTCCACTACTTTATAGGAGAGAAATGTGCTTTGGGGACTTTCATATTTTGATTTCAGCGAATTGGATATTATCAGATACTTACAGCGAACCAACAAAATATGAAATGTGCTCACAGGATCTCCCTGCCAGAGCCTGTGGCCTTATGCTTATGTATCTTGGACTGATAAACTAGACCACAATTAAGCCCACTAATCAAAACAAAGCTGTGCCTTCATCCTTCAGATAACATACAAATGAAGGTGATGAGGTAAGTTTCATAATGGCATCTTAGTTTCATTTTTTTTCAAGATATATATGCTTTATTTGTATATTAAACATGTAAAAATGTGTCCTTTACTCTTTCTTAAAACATGGCTCTCCAGCTCGTCTGCCTATCTATCTATCTAGCTATCATCTAGTTCAGTGGTCAGCAAATATCAACAGTACAACAGAGCCAAATATCAACAGTACAACGATTGACATTTCTTTTGAGAGCCAAATTTTTAAAACATTAACGTCTTCTAACACTACTTCTTTAAAATAGACTCGCCCAGGCTGTGGTATTTTGTGGAAGAGCCACACTCAAGGGGCCAAAGAGCCACATGTGGCTCACGAGCCGCAGATTGCTGACCACGGATCTAATTTTTACCCATTTTTAACAGACATGAGCACTCAATCTATTCTACTTCTCTCTCAATATATATGAAAAGGCAGAATGCATGTGTGATGATAAATGGCAAATGATTCTTAGCCGTGGTGTTGGGGAGCAATAAGGGGTGGTGGGGACAATGGCAAATTCAAGGCCATTGCTTTAACTGAAAGCAGCAGCTCCTTTTTAATGCCAACCAATTGTTTTCGCAGGGAACATAGGTCCCACGTTGCCAGATTTTTCAAAAAGCCAGAAATCTAGATGTAAAAGAGCTTCATTATCAAATATTGCTAACAATTTAATATGGGGCTTGTCACCTGGCAAGCTGAACAAAACATATCAATAGGCCGAAGTGAACCCATGGCCACCAGTTCACAATCTCTGGTTTTAGCTGTCAAACACAGTTGTAGAACTCTTATATCATTGTGGTTGATGTGGCTCTTTCTAAGCAGCATGGAAATATCGTTCTAAGAATGTCATTACATTCCCAGTTGATAGGCTACTTTATATGCAATAGGCAAATACAGAATTAAGAAGGCAAACTCCCTATGATCAGTAATTTGTAATAAAATAAAGTAGATGCAGCACAGAATGGCTGCAAGTGGGAGAGAATTCATACTCACAGAGAGTATGAACAGATTAACAAAGGCACCTGAAGCGGACGATTTTGTCAGGATGTCTTTTGCCTGTGTGGAAGTTCCTCGTGAGGCTATCCCAGCTCTAGGGTTGCTTTGGCTGCTGGTGCCTCAACCCCTGGAGGCACAGGGCTGGCTTCTTCCCTTTCTCTTGCCAGTCATGTCCCTGCCAGCATATCACCATCGCAGAATATCACAATAACAGAAGGGAACATCCATTGAGCATTGTCTTGCACCAGACACTGATCAATGCGTTATAGCTCAGTAACACCTTACATCCTCCCAATAATCTGCAAGGAAGGGACCATTGTCATCTTCATTTTACAGATTCCCCTTCATTTTAGATAGCTCATAAGGATTCAGTGTGACCACCCAGTCCACACTCGTTATTCCTACCTTCTCTGTGACCTGTTATTTGTTAAAGGGCCTGTCTCTACAATGACAAGGAATTCACCACCTTGAGGGTCTTCCCGGTCTATGTGAACTCGGCAACATCTGAAGACCTTGCTCGTTCCCTCCTTCTCCTATGTGTCTCCCTCCTTTGCTCTGAGATCTTGTCCATCTGATACTCACTGGGTAGGTGACTTGGTAAATTACATGTTCTCTCTGGGTCTGTTCCTTTATCAATAAAATGGAGACAGAAAGGAGATAGCTTTGCCCACAGTAAATGGTATGTGGGGTTCCAAACTGCCCAAGGAACACCAATGATTTCACATGGCCTTCATGACCACGTGCATACCCACCAATGAGCCTGCCTTTCAAGATGTTAGCACTCCAGCACCTCCCTACCCACTGGTCTCCTCTCCAGCCAAGGAATTCTTATCCATTGACCACTTGGGTGCGTGCTCCTCTGAGTACTGCCTTCCCCTTCCCACTTAGCCCCAAAGCTCTCAGCAGACCCCAGAACTCGGATAACTTCACTCCCATTTTGAAGCCTCTTCTGCCTTCTCCAGGTCACGTTGACTTCTTCCTTTCCCGAAGACTGCTTGCATTAACCCCAGACCAGACCGCTCACATCCGCACAGCAGTTCACAGAGCACTGTGGCATGCAAGTTACCTCATAGAGACTCTCAGCGACCGGCCACTTCAGGATCATCACGTCCATTATGTAGGAGAAGAAATTAAAAAACAAACAAACAAACAACAACAAAAAACAGACAAGGACAGGATTTGCCCACCTGCACTCTACAGCCAGCGCCAGAACTGGACTGGAATCCGGACTCCTCCCCCCCCAGGCCAGAGCTCCTGTCTAGTCCCCACCGCCAGGGCTGGCATTAACCATTTCATGCCTCAGTGTTCTGTGTCTCCAGTGCTATTCTGTTCTTGGGGGCTGGCAGTGGGTCTAATCCTCTTGTTGGTGAACGGGTAGTACGAGTGGCAAAGAGCCTGACATGCACTCATCTGAGCCCATTTTAAACCTCAGCTTCCTCTTCTGTGAAATGAGGATCACTAAGTGGCACCTTCCCAGGGCAGTTGTGGGGATTAAATGAGACAACACAGGCAGAGCCTTACCACGGGGCCTGGGACATAACCATGCTCAATAAGTGTGAGCCACCGCCTCTATGCCCATCCCGTCCCCTTTGCAGGGCTAATTCAAATTACCTTTCACTTGGCAGGTGGTGGCTCTCCCTCTAGGAAGGGGTGTCAGATGAAAAGCAGGAACTGACCCCAATGCCCTCTATGGCTGCCAAGTGCATTCAGGAAGAAAGGCCCCTGGAGTGGGTGTCTTACACAGGACTGTGTCCCTTTGTTCTTCCAATGTATTGGCATCTCCCACCATCAGGGACTATTTTAGGCAGGGAACAAAATAAACATAAACCCTTGCCCTCCTGTGAGGTTATTCTTGGGGGTGGGGGTACAGGCAAGGCATAAAGAGGAAAACATTAGAATATTAGATATATTTACAATTTTAAAAAATATATTTTATTGATTTTTTTTTTTTTTTTTTTTTTTTTTTTTTTTTTTTACAGAGAGGAAGGGAGAGGGGTAGAGTCAGAAACATTGATGAGAGAGAAACATCAATCAGCTGCCTCCTGCACACACCCCCTACTGGGGATGTGCCTGCAACCAAGGTACATGCTCTTGACCAGAATGGAACCTGGGACCTTTCAGTTCTCAGGCCGATCCTCTATCCACTGAGCCAAACCGGTTTCGGCTATATTTACAATTTTTATTAGGACTAGCTTTTAGTTATGTGTATCCATTATACCACCCAAACTGGATCACACCGGAGCGGGTTCCGGGGGTCACCTATGCAGGCAAGCGCTCAGTCCTGCTGTGTGATCTTGGGACATTGGCGTCACCTCTCCGAGCCCAAATCACAGCGATTCCAGCCTCCTAGGCCATTGAGAGGAGGGATCCCAATGACCCGCGAACGGAGAGCGCTTAGTCCGTGGAGCTGCTCGGGCAGGGACAGACGTGAGGGTGGGGAGGGGGCCGCGTCCGCTTTGCCAGACGGAGCTGGGACTCCGGGCTTTTCCCGAAGGTTACCCAATGCGGCTGGGGGTGGCACCGGCGGCCGGGAAGCGCTAGGCTGCCGCGGGGGGAAAGGGGCGTGGGGAGGTCCCGGGGTGGGAGTGCGCCACCGCGGCGCGCGAGGGAGCGCTGGGCGCGGCGGAGTCGGGTTTCAGAGCGCGGGTGACTCAGGGCGCGGGGAGCCGGGAGCCTGCCCGCCGGCCGCTCCAGCGCCGCCTTTGTTCCCGCAGGAAGCGCGCGCGGCCGCCCGTCGCCTCCGCGGAGCTCGGCCGCTTGCTTAGCGCCTCCGGGGCCGGGCAGAGCCGCGAGATGGAGCCAAGGTAAGACTCGCGCCCCGTGGCCCGCGCCCCGACTCCTCCGCGCCCCTCCAGCCCGCCTAGCCTCCTCTCACTCGGCCACTTTTTGCAGGAGGAACGAGCGGCGTTGGTTCCTGCCGCGGCTGCTTTGGGTCTCCGCGCTTCTCTCCGCTGCCGACCGGACCCGCGCGGAGACAGGTAAGCCGCCGGGCCGCCGGAGGGGGGCACCCGCCGCCTCCGCGCCCCGGGAAGCTGGTGCTGGCGGCGGGCGCGGCTGCAGTGCGCGCCTCATTCCTGGACATAAAAGGGAGTCCTCGCCGCGCCGTGCGCCCTGGCGGTCCTGCCGCGGCTTCCCGGGGCGGTACGGGGGGCTCCTGGGGTGGATCCTGGGCAGCTGGGGCGGATGGAGCGCTGTCTGGGCATCCAGGATGTCAAAGTCAGGCGTGGCCCCGCCGGTGTTGGCCGTAGGGAGCCTTTGGAAGCACAGGAGGGCACCAGAGGCGCCGCGGGGACCGTTAGCTGCACCCAGTGCCGGCGCCCAGGTCGTGCGTGCTGCCAAGCTCACTGCCAGGGCAGGTCCGGTGGCCGCCCTATACACAGGTGCGGGAGCATGATCGGCAGCAGAGACACCTGGCTCCGTCACCTCGAAAGAAATAACGGGACTGAATTGCTCTGATACCTAACTTAGCGCTGAGTTACCCAGGGAGTCACATCCCTGGGTCAATGGTTCCACGGGTGATGGGAGGGGCTGGGAAGCAGGGGATCCAGTCCTTTCTGTTTCCCAAGGCTCAGCTCACTTTCCCCACCTGGATCCAGAGGCGGTGGGATGAAGAGTGGGGGGTTAGTTAAAAGATATTTCAGTTAGGTTGTGCCAAGCAGTGTGGGTTGAATTGTGCCTAATTAGATGACCTTGGGCGATTCATTTCTCCTCTCTGGGCTTCAGTTTCCTCATAAAAATAAATAAATAAATAAATAAATAAATAAATAAATAAATAGCGGGGGGGGGGGCGATAATGAAATCACTTGACCTCCTAGGGCTGCTGTGAAGATTAAGAGAGATATTAAAAATAATACGCTTTCCACACGCTGGCGCATACCAGGCAGAAAATAAGGGATAGATACTGCGGCTTGACGCTTGCAATAGCTGTGTTGGAAAGCAACGCGGGCATTCTTATACAAGAGGACACGGAGGATGAGAGAGGTTTGGGCAGTGGCCAGTCCAACGGCAGAGCGGAGCCCAGATTTGCAGGCTCCGGTCGTGCCTTGCTCCGCCCTGTCTCCATGCAGTTTTGAGGGAGAGCTGTGCTCTCCAACAGTAGTCTCTGACCCCTTTTGGAGTTAGGAGAGCAGAACACAGTCTCTATAGAGGTGTCTCCAGCAAGGGAAGTGGGGATTGAGCGGGTGGCCTTGGTTAACTCTTTGTGTGCTGGAGGAGGCGCGGGACAGCCCCGACCATTGTTTCCTTGGGAGGGAGACCCAAAGGCGATGACAGCCTTTCCTGCCAGAGCGTCCAGCCTGGCATTTCTTGCAGATCAAAGGGCAGCTGGAGCCCAGTTTTTGGCTTCTCAGCATCGTGGCCCATGTGGGAACATTGCAATTTTGCATGTGATATAGGTTCTTGCCAACTCAGCAGCAGAGGGCGGCTTCGGGTTCTGTGATCCTTGCTGAACGTGGCCGAGGCCGCAACCCTCGCCCCCAAAAGGAAGAAGGTCCTGGGGAGAAGACACTTGGGTGTTTCTTTCCTCCTCCTGGCGCTTGCAGGCTGGGTCCCTGGAAGACAGGTCAGGGCTGTGGTTTCTAACTCAGAGGAAGCAGCGTTCTCATCCATAATGTAAAAAGGGCGTGCCAGGAAGCCCTCAGGAGCTGGAAAGGGCCTGGGGAGGGCCATTTGCAATGATGGGTATTTGATGTCCCTTTGAGGCTCAGAATCTTCTAGATGCATGAAATATGCTCCTGCAAACCAGGTTTTGCATGCAGTTCAATTAGTCTAACATCTGTAAACCACTTCATATGCTCAGGCAGAGCTGTGGACACATTCATGCTTCATCCATCCAGTCCTCACAGTGGCTCCACCGGGTGGGGACAGAGACTGTCATTGTCTCTGTTCTTCCGATGAGGAAAGTGAGTCCGAAACGCCCAAGGCTTCTCAGCCCCTCGGGGTTTCCTGGCGCACCCTGTGTAAAGAGACCCTTGTCAAAGGGACTCTGGCCCCAGATCCATCCTTGTGTCCCTAAGGGGTCGTGGCTGAGTAGTAAAGTTGCAGTGTCATTGGAATACCCGCTATTTTAGATGATGAGGTTGTTGTGGGGATAGGGAAGGTAGTGCCGCAAGTAGTAATTTGTCCCAGATAAAACGCTGATATGTGCAAGTTATTTACTTGTCTTTAAAGTGTTTGCGAACCTATCAACATTCTCTTTCACATTGATGTTTTTCTCTCTCTCCCCTCCCCTCCCCTCTCCTCTTCTCTCATTCTTCTCCTCTCCTCTCTCTAAAACCATAAACATATTCTCAGATGAGAATAAGTTAAAAAGTACAGCTCAGTGATTGCTCACAGTGCAAATGTCACATAGCCCAGGGGAAGAAATCGCAGAGCTCCGGAAGCTCCTTTGTGTCCTTGGCTATGTGATTCCCTCCCTCCCCTCGGAGACAACTATCACTTTGACTATCCATGTGACCATTCCTTACTTTTTAAAAATAACCTCAGTACCTAAACGTGTATCCCCAAATTCTAAAGTTCCATTTTACTTGATTTTGAACTTTATACATGTAGGATGTCTTCTTTGGTGTCTGCCTTTTTAAACTGAATGTTAAGTTTTTGAGATTCATGTATGCTGTTGCATATGGCCGTACCTAATTCATCTTCGTTGCTGTATAATATTCCACTTATTAATATCAAGATTATTGTCTATCCATTTGAACCACTCACAGTTCCCATGTATACTTGGAATTGTGCAGTCTCCTTGACTTTGCACATGTGTGAACTAATCTCCGTCAGTGCAGTGGTCGGCAAACTCCTTAGTCGTCAGAGGCAAATATCAACAGTATAACTATTGAAATTTCTTTTGAGAGCCAAATTTTTAAAACTTAAACTTCTTCTAATGCCACTTCTTCAAAATAGACTCCCCCAGGCCGTGGTATTTTGTGGAAGAGCCACCACACTCAAGGGGCCAAAGAGCTGCATGTGGCTCGCGAGCCGCAGTTTGCCGACCATGGATCTCGAGCATGCTTTTTCACATTCCCTTTCTCTTGAAGGTCTATCTCAACTACACACCTAAATGGTACATCTTCCAGGGTGCCTTCCCTGTATCTCTCCAGTGGAGTTTTCTTTCTTTCTTTTTTTAAAATATATTTTATTGATTTTTTTTTTACAGAGAGGAAGGAAGAGGGATAGAGAGTTAGAAACATTATTGAGAGAGAAACATCCATCAGCTGCCTCTTGCACACCCCCTACTGGGGATGTGCCCACAACCAAGGTACATGACCTTGACCAGAATCGAACCCGGGACCCTTCAGTCCGCAGGCCAATGCTCTATCCACTGAGCCAAACCGTTTTGGCTCCAGTGGACTTTTCTAATCACTACATCTCTACAGCCCTTCCTCTCTCTCTCCAGGACCCAGCCACTGTCCCCCTCTGTACTATCAATATGTTTATTCATCTTCATTTCCCATAGGAGCACGTTGAGGTGTGGGTCATGCCTCATTTGTCCAGAGTTGGTCACTTGGACTTTGGCCATTTTGTTACTCCTAGAGGCCCAGTGCATGAAATTCGTGCACAGGTTCAGTCCCTAGGCCTGGCCAGCAATCAAAGTGTTAGTGTCTGGCATGGAAGGGAGGTCCCAGCTGACCTCTGGGCCCTTGGCAGCATCTGGGTCCCTGAGCCCTTACACATGTCCCTCTGCCTGAGTCATAATACGAGAGTCCCCACGTGGAGATGCAGAGAGCATGGACGGATACTGTGGGCCAGGCTCAGCATGGGCCTCTGGGCTGCCCAGCGGTGCCAGTGGAAGCTGGGTGGGCAGCGCCCTCTCTCCCGGCTGGCCTCACAGACTGGCTCCTGTGCGAATCCACGGGAACCAGGCGGCTGCCCTGTCCCCCTGACCCCCGGCCTCTACCGCAGGTCACCATCCATGGGGCTATCTCGCACCTGTCTTGATCTGGTGCCACCCACTCACTTACTCCACCATCCTGTAGCGTTCCCACTCTCGTCGGGGCCCATTGAGGCTGGTAGCACCTCCACAGCCCCTACTGCCAGCACCACATCGATGCCATGTTCCCAGCCACCTTCTAGTGGTCAGCGTGCAGTCGAACTCCAGGTCGAACTGCCGGTAGGACAATTTGCATATTAGGCTTTTATTATTTTGTTACTATAGTAAACCACACTGCTAAGAACATCTCCAGATAAATGACCTTTGTTTTCTTTTTGGGTTATTTTCTTTGACTAGATTCTCCCAAACTAGTTGGATAGTTCTTATGTAGTCAGATGGATTTTTTTTCTTAGACACACATTAAATCATGCCACTCCCTGGTGCAATTGCTCTTGCTGGGTTCTCATTATCCCTAGGATGGAGTCAGGCTCCGTACCCCAGCAGGCCCTTTGTGGTCTGGCCACTCACACGGAGCCCTCGGGCTCCCACCAAACTGCTGTAGATTTCCGAATGAGGTATGTGATATCCCACCTCTGAGTCTTCGCACAGGCTGGTCCCTTTTTGAGAATGCCTTTCACCTTGTCCACCTGGCAAACTCAGTTCATCCATTAGGTTTCCTTTCTGGGAAGCCCTCCTGCTCTGCCAGACATGTTGGGTCTCTCCTCAGGGCTAGTACTGTACTCACCCATCTCCCAGTCACAGGGCTTTTCAGACTAGATTGTGGCCTTAGTTACCTGTCTGTCTCCCCTACCACATGGGAAGTTCTGTGAGGCAGGACTGGGCCTTGTCCAACTCTGAATCCCAGGGCCCAGCACAGGGCCTGGCTGAGTGGGTGCTCAGCACACCCTCTCAGTGAATCAAAGAAGGAATGAATGGGTAGGTCTGGCCTGTGGTCTAGAGAGAGTGCTCCAATTTACCATGTCCTCTGCAGTTTGTAAGTCATCCCGACTCTATTACAGCTCTGCCAGCTCTGGGGCGACCATGACTGTGAAGTCAGGGTACATTATTGAGCTTTTAGTTTTTCTTTTAATAACCTTCACAACTAGTGTGAGT